TCGCCCGCCCCCCGGGCCCCCGGGGGTCCCCCGCGGCCTGGGCAGGGGGAGCTGCCCGGCGGCGGTGGGACGTATCCTTCTCAGATTGCTGAGAGCATTCCCCGTATTGTATATTACAATGATGCTGGAGAATATTGTTCTACAATAGCTGGAGTTTTGTTATTAAACAAGCCCTGATGAGCAGGCACGCCTCTGCCTCCTGCCCCCGCCGCGGTCCCGTGGGACGGGGGGGAGCCCCTCTGGACCAGTACGGGCTGGGTGGGTGTGCTGCGGGGTACTGGGGCTGGGTCCCTGTGGTGGGGCTGGGGAAGGGTGTTCTTCCGTGGGCTGGTCCCAGTTTCCTCCCAGTGTGCTGCTGTGGTGGGCCCAGGTGTGCTGGGGTCTTCGAGTGGCCTGTCCCCTGTCCCGGCACTGTCCCCTGTCCCGGCACTGTCCCCCCCAGGCCCAGCGGCTCCCGTGGGGCCCGTGTCCCACTCCCTCCTCTCCCTCCCCGGGCTCAGGTATGGGGTGTTGGGGCAGGCACATGAGGGAAGATGGTTTGCACCCCAATTTCTGCAGTGGGGAGATGGTCCCGCTCTCCCTGGGCAGCCAGGAGTTTGCAGCGGGGCCCTGCCCTTGCCTCCCTTCCCGGCAGGGCCGCCGGCACCCCGCAGCGTTCCTGTGACTCCCGCAGCATGGGAGCCGGGGCGCGGGCGGCTGCAGGGTGCGAGGTCGTGGGATGGGGATGCTGTGGGGACAGTCCCATCGCGCTGCCCCAGGAGGGAGCGGGTGCAAGCCCTGGGGTGCCACTCGCTGTGGTCCTGTCCCTGCGGTTCCGGCTCGCCCTGGTGCAGCTCCCGTGAGCAGGGCCAAGCCCTGGGGTGCTGTCCCTGGGGTTCCAGCTTGCCCTGGTGCAGCTCCCGTGAGTGGGTGCTGTCCCTGCGGTCCTGTTCCGGCTCGCCCTGGTGCAGCTCCTGTGAGTGGGGCTGAGGCCAGACGTGCTTTTGGGAGAAGGAAATTGCATCAGGGGTTGTGCAAGCCCGCGGGCCGGGGGTGCCCCGGGCAGCGGCGCTGACCTGAGCTGGGCCCTGACTCACCAACGCCTCGGGGGACCCGCTGCCTCCTGCCGCAGCTGGGTGCGGACCTGGCGGGGGCAAATTGGGGGCCCTGGGGGTCTCCTGCTGCCCCAGCCGCCCCCGGGGCAGGCGGCCAGGCCGGGGCTGCCCTGGCAGGGCCCCTCCTGCAGCCGGGGGTCTCTGGGGCTGCCAGGGGTTGACCGGCCCTGGCTGCAGGTGCGTGCACGCATGTGCCTTTGCACGAGTGTTCACATGTGTTTGCGTTCGCAGGCACGGTCACAGCCCCGTGGGTGCACAGCCACGGTCCCCCAGCCCGGCAGCTCCCCTGGCAGGGGGCGAGAGGGGCGGGTGGCTTGGGGAACCTTGTCCTGGCTGGGACGCGGCAGCAGGGGACACCCCGGGGGGCCTGGGCTGCGGGGCCCTGTGGATGAACCCGTCCATCAGTGTCCCCTCTGTCACTGGGCGGGTCCCTTCCATCGCTTCCCCGGGTCCCCTCCGTCACCCCCCCAGGTCGCCTCCATCGTCCAGATCGGAAG